TAGGGTCCGAAGAAGGCGGGCCGGCGAGTATGGGCGGAGGCGGAAAAGAAAGCCACCGCGGCGGCAGCCTAGGCGGAAGACACAAGCGGAAAGACGGAACGCGCGAACGCAGCTCAGGCGAAAGTAAAAAAAGAGAGCAGAGCGATTTCGAGGCAAGGAAAGGGAATGAGCGCGGTCTGGGGGGACCCCGCCACCAACCCAGCCCTTATTTAGGCCGCGGGATGCCGGTTCGGCTGCCGCCGTACAAGGTCATCTTCGGAGAATTCGCCTGCCGCCCAACGGTCATCCCCGGAGAAGTTGCAAGGTATACAACGGAAAGAAATACGGCGTAAACGGCCACAGCGTAGGACAATGGCTAGTTTTGCAGCCTAACGGCTACTATGACAAGACCAGCGGCCACGCTAGAGCGGGCCAGGGGGGAACCTGCGGGGATCGATCGAAGACGTGACCATGCGCAGTATCCGCCCCCGCGGACGTCCTTGCTTAGGGCGTTTTGAGCTCACGACACGCTCGGGCGGACCGCGGTCTCAAAAGGGGGGAACTGTTGTAACACGGCCTCCGAGAGTGGCGGAGACCTATGCGGCCAGCAGTTCACAAAGACGTCTCCGACCAACTACCTTAGCAAAGGCCCAGCTACCACGCCTCCAGACCCAGAAAGATGACGGTTTCTCAGACTGCTTGCAGGACGCTGCCGGTGACTCTGGCGTAGCCTCCGCCGGGTTAGCTTCGTAGGCGTCTCCGGGCGGAGGGGGCGGAGGCCGCCCCGCTGCAAGGCTAAGCAAGTGCCAACGTTACCTACGTGTGTGTGCAGGTAACCAGAGGAAGGCGCTCGTGGATGGCGCGGGCACGCCGGTTCGGCCTCCGCTCATAGGGGCAGAGACCCAAGCAGGAGGACGGCAATACTAGGCGTCATGGGTCTGCGGCCTCGGCGTCCCTGGGGCGGAGACCGACGGCGGAAGTCCAAAGGTCCATCGCCGAATCCTGAGGCCTGATGAGGCGAAGACCGACGGCGGAGAGGTCCAAAGGCCCGTCGCCGAATCCTGAGGCCTGATGAGGCCAAGACCGACGGCGGAGGTCCAAAGGCCCGTCGCCGAATCCTGAGGCCTGATGAGGCGGAGACCGACGACGGAGGTCCAAAGGCCCGTCGCCAATCCTGAGGCTTGATGGGCCGGCTGATCGCGCAGGCCCAGTACCTGAGGGCGGCATGACAAGATTACCCCCGAGAGGAAAGACAAGTAGTGGAATATTTCGAGAATGTACTGTAGCAGTTGAAGGGTACTATTGTAAACTCTGTAAAGTGGTAGTTGAGCCCTATAAATAAGGAATACTTGTAATAGTACGGGAGGTGGGTGAATGAATTAATGAAACCCTAGTTTACGTGCCATTTTCCTACATGTCCGCTTGTCGTGTCTGTTTCCCGAGCCTCAGCCTGAGGGCAGCGCCTGGCGGGCGAAGGCCTCCACCTCCTCCACATTGTCTGAGACTGCAAGTCTCAACAGCAAGGATTTTCCCATTACAACCTACAGTTATATTTCCTAGTTTAATCTAATTAAAAATAGTGCTGGCTAGGTTTGACCTGCTCAACACTGTACATTATTAAAAAACAAAAAAAATGGGACTCGTGGGCTCGTGGCGCGCGCGTCACCGGCGTTGCTTCCGGCAAAAGCCTAGAACGTCATTGACAACATGACGAGATGGGCCAGCGCAGTTGAGGACCTGCAGTGCAGGCACCTTCGGAGAAGTTGCCCCTGTCCCTGTCGGGAGCGGAACGCAGGCACGCAACCTCGCAACTCGCATCCATGGGCTTTGATTGGTTCGGCTTGGGTGCACCGAGGCCTATAAAACCCGAGGGGCACCCCTTTCCCGGAATCTGCAAAACGCGGGAGCATTCAGAGCAATGCGTAGTTAGCTAGTCTGATTGCACTAGCTATTTATTTGCTGCTCATCCATCAGTTGTGGGTTTTTGTGGCTCATGACTTCCCTGCTGATAAACTTTAGGTCGAGGCTAGTATATATGACATCTCTGACAAAACATGTAAACGGGAGAAACGCAATTTAGGGCACGCGCCTCTGAAGCCAAATTAACCTATTGCTAATACCGCACCGCTGGCCAAGTGCATGAATGGTAAACGGTGCGTGGGTTTGGACCCGTTCCCTGTGGGATACGTACTATGTTTACATAGCCCATTTACGTCATGTTCGCTTGAACTTAGCCCGGCTTATCAGTCATAGTATAGTGTTTTTCTCTCATAATAAAACAGCATTAGCCGGCTTATCAGCCACAAAAACCATCAGCCAAACAGCTTATTAACCTACTGAAGAACAATAACGATATTATGTAAAAAAGAAGACAAAAGAAAAAAAAAAGAATACAACAAAGAGATCTCACGATGACCCGGCCCGGCGAGTTTTGTAGCGCTGTAGATGCGACGTGATGTCACCTATTCAGTAGCAGGATTGTTTGGTATAATTCAGCTTTACTGGTGAAAGTTTTTTTTTCCTTTTTTCCCCCTTCGGTAGCAGTTTTTCACCAATAAAAAGCTAAAGCTATTTTAGAAAAAGGTTTGGAAACATGTTCTCAAGAAAACTAGCAGACAGAGAGCGCGCGCTTGGAGAATCTGGTATTTTCAGTTTTACCTAGAAAATTGTGCTAGTGAGAGAAGCTGGAAAATACAGTAGCTTTTAGAAAGAAGATGTTTCATTAGAACCGGTTTAGTAGAAGTTGAAAAACAATTTTGTAAAACTGGACCAAAAGCTATACCAAACACTTAACACTTGGATGACTCGTCCGAGGCCACCGATGGCTGCGAATGCGAGGAGGTACCCGGTACCCCGAACCCGAACAAGCCGATTGGCCTCACACGGTAGGTTACGTCAACGCGGAGGCAAAGCATCCGGTCGCAATCAGATGGCGTAGTACATTGTATTGTAAAGACGACTAATGGCCGTCGTAGAGCAGCAGCTTCCGGGAAGCTTCATTAATCTACTTCATAGTTGGAACGCGCTTGTTGTATAGGTGTGTCCTTGATCGTTTCTGACACTTTGCAAAACCGTCTATAAATAGGACATGGTCACCTCCCTTCCTTTACAAAACGCGCGAGCGAGCAGAGCTCAAAGCCATGGTAGCTATGGATACAGGCGCGCCCGCCGCGCTCGCTCGCTGGCCACTTCCTGCAACCGCGCCATCTGCTGCACTGCATGCAGGCACCTCCTGTAGCTGATGATGATGGCTAACCGGCCGACGCGCCCTGCTGGACAGTGTGTGCGCTTCTGCCGTGGGCCTCGCCGCCTACAATTCGGAGATAGATCGCCATGAACACATCCATCGCTCCGGCCCTGCAGCGACGACCGCGGTGCGCCGAGCGCGTTCGTGACGACCCCGTGCTTGGACCTGGATCGGCTCGCTGCTCAGGGATCGTCGCTACTCTTCTCGTGGAAAGCTCGCCGCCGGCGTACGTCATGCCCATCGCCGTGGACGTTTTTGGAACCGTCGCTAGCTGGAGCCTGGAGGTTTACTTATGCCTTCTGCTTGACAAAGCAATAATATAATAATATGTATGTTTTTGTCAAATATAATCATCAAATAAACGTACATGTTCTTTTGCGGGTGCCTCTTGTGTATGAACGATACTACTTATGCTCAAATTTGGCTTATATGCTGATGCTTATGTTGAAATATTGTGAGGAAAAAATACTATTACATGGCTGAAAAGTAGTGCTGAATAAGCTCAAGCAAACAGTACTTTACACTATGCATAATATATATAGTGTGTGTGTTTTTGGCAATAAAAATCTATATATATGCTGACTGTGTGTTCCGCTATAGTACCGACAAATGGCTAAAAACTCTTGCTGTGAGTCTCTAATCTAGAAAATAGAAGTCGTATATACAGATCTAAAAAATGAGAGAGCAACAACTCTTGCTGTGACCGCTATAAAAGTTGTTTTCAAGACAAACAGCCTGTTTGACTGGTCTATAAGTTGTTTATACTGATTTATATAACTAAATTATGGTAAAAAAAATACTATACCATAAGTTATGTAAGGCTCGACTGAAACGAACCAGCAAACAGAATGAAAGCCGACGACACAGTCACGCTAGCAAGAAACTTCCTGCGCTATTTCGAGGAAACTTCATGCATGGGCCGGGAACTTCACATGCCATTTCCAAGAAGCTAGCAGCCACTAGAAACTTCACGCGGAAACATTTCGAACAAGCAACCATCATCAGGAAGCTTCCAGGAAACTTCATATGCTATTTCGAGGAAACTTCATTTTTTTTTTGTATGCCAGCCGTGAATCCAGGAGCTTATCGCCGAAACTTCGTATGCTATTTCGATGAAGCTGCAGCCGTAGACTCCGTGGGCACGAACACGCACCTTTCACACTCTCTTGCTGCTATTTTTTGTAGCACTACTACTGCTCCCTCTGATCTAAATTATATATATTGTTTATTTAAACCATATTCTACTTCAATTTCTCTGATTGTAATCTAAAGTTTTTAAAAGATATTTTAACAAGATGACATATATAGTTCAAACTTATTCAATCAAAACTTTTTCATAGAGAATTTAGTAAAATTAATTTGGTATTCTATATGTTGGTTTAGTTTTATATAAACTTTATTAACGTTGAAAATATTTGATTTAACATAACAATCAGAGTATAAACTAAATTTAAAGCGTCGTATACATATAGGAGTAAAATAAAAATAAACTATACAAAGTCAGACAGACTAATACACAAATCGTCGTATACATATAGGAGTAAAATAAAAAAAAAGGACTGACATGCTCCCCACACAACTGGGCCTATTTTAATTTAGCACCGAACCGCAGGGGCCGAAATCAGAACCAGCCCAACACCAACCTATAAAAAGGGACTGACAGCTCCCCACACGAAGTGGGCCTAGGGCCATCAGCAATCTCCTTTTTGCTGAGAGCTGGCAGGCTGCGTCGAATCGAACCCAGGGGCAGAACCAGAACCCACAGAAGCAATCCATGGCCGAAGCTCTGCTCAAGCCGCGGCCCCTGGTTCAGCTGCCGTCGCCGGTGACGCTGGTCGGTTTCATGCTCCTCGCATTCAGCTCCGCCATGGTCCTTGGCGCCGTGACCTCCTTCCTGGTGTTCTCCTTCCTGGACCTTGCGATGCTGTCCCACTGCCTGCGCCTGTACGCGAGGACGCCGCTGGCGTCGTCTCCCCGGCGGGAGCTCCTCATGATGGCGGCATGGCTGCTGGCCTCGATGCTCGTCGTTACGTTTTTACAGTTACTGGAGCTTTGGTTCCTGACTACGCATGGGGAAAACAACTGAGAATCCGGTCACGGACATCTAGAACCACGCCGCGTGGCCTCCGAATCCACCATCGGTTTCTAGGATCCTGTACCTGAAGATTCCGGTATGTGTGCCTTATATTGTATCGCTTGTTAAGTTATCCACATACTGTTTAATTTTATTTAATGATTACGTACATTGAGATGACACACGCGATGGTCAAAGTATTGTCCATATGCATGTATGCATATCTTATTATACGTTGAGGTTATTTGTCAATTTACAAAGAGCTGGATCTGCAATATCTCTCTCCTTATTTGGCTCTTTGATTGACGACGGCAGATCAATTACTCCCTATGTCTTCAAATGATATACGGAGTACTCTGCAAGTGTATTTTGACCAGAAAAAAAAGTTAAAGCAGGTTGTGACCATTAATTTCTCTCACTTGCTAAAAAAAATCAATACCATCTCTAAAAATACAAATCTATTGATGCAAGTTTTATGTCATGATGAATCTATATATAATTTGACTAATTGTTGGTCAAAGTTTATAAATTTTTACTTGTTCATATACAAAATAATCTTATCATTCTGACTAGAGGGAGTAGGTTAGGTGAACAGAAAAGTCAACGTATACAAATTAAAAGAAAGAACCTTAAGGTTCAAAAAAGTTGAAAACTGTTGCGAGTTGCGTGATAAGATATGATCACTCCAAAAACGACAAATTAAAATTAATTTACGACCTCTGAGGTTTAGATTTTCCCTGTCGGGTTGAGCATGGGCTCGTACGGGCTACATAAGGCCCAGTTGATTCTAATCTCCCCGACATTCTTCATGCAGCGCCTGCCGTCCTTGTCAAAGCAAGATGCATGATGCAGGATTCGAAGAGAAACATATAGCATGGCACATGACACGTGTAGGCAAACTCCGTTTTTTTCCCCTTCAAAACGACGCCTCCTATCGATGAAACGTCGAAATAATTCTAAGGGCTTAGAACAGTCTCGACCTACAAACTAGGATGATCTCTATATTCATAATTAGAATATCAATTAGGTAAAATAGTGATGCGGCATGGAATTAGAAAAAGAGGGAAGAAAATGGTTTGGACAAGAAACCATATCTACACGCAAATTAAGATATGAAAAGGCGTAAATGATAGAAAGAGAAGGCAAATGATTAAACAACAATTTATTTTTAAAAAGCTACCCATTAGAAATATGATTTCTACATAGTTTCTGTCTAAGATTAAGTGTGTGTATGATTTAGTATGTATAGAAACTATCGCACATAGTTTCTGTGTGAGATTAAGAACTGCCTTTATAGAGTTTAGACGCGCATCAATGGGCCTTGATGTAGTACTATTTTCTTCAGAGCTCTTTTCAGTCGGTGCTAAAACTTGGTAAATACAACTAGGCTCATTAATAAACCAGCTCACCAGCCGGTTACAGTACGTTTCAAGTTCCCTGCTGGTCACGTCAGCGAGATTTGTCATTTGTCGTCGGCATTGGGCAAGCCATCAGCTTCCTGCTGGCCGAATGAGAAACTGACGTGCAGACTTGGATCGAGACAGACAACTTGTGTGTACTCTAAGAAAAAGGAGGCAGATGGCAGAAGACGCGGTAGACTTGGTAGAAATTAGCGCAAGTGGATCGGCGTGCAAAAGCAACTCGGTCCCTGTTACCGCCCCGGCGGCCAATCAATCCATTGAAGGTCGCAATGTCGCTGTCTCAACAATGGAATAATGGACGGCAAGCGCGTATCTAGGGTCTCATTTGGGAACACGCAAACGGAGTTTCGTGGCTAGTTACATCGGACAACGAAATAGGCAACTTCCAGGAACTTTCCTCATTTCGTGTGCTAGTGGGGAAATCTCAAATTAAAGATTCGTCGCGTTGCGGCGGCGGCTGTAACTTCATGGCGACTTCCTTTGCCGCCGGGAGGTATAGCCTGGCCTATAAAAGGGAACGAGCAGATTACCGGAACTTCAAAAACGCGCGCGAGGCAGGCCGTCGCATGCTTGCTAGTTCGTGCCACACCCAAACAAAAATATCCCTGACCGTCGACTTATTTCCTGTCGAACCGACAGGAAATACGTCGACCATCAGGACCCACGGCTGAATGCTCAAACTGAAGCGCTGTCAAGAATTGCTTCCTATCAGCTAATCGTCAGGGAAAGTCGATCTTCCTTGAGAGTGGTTCCTATCACCAAGCCATCACGAACATAACTCGTGACGGTTTCCGAGGTTTTTTTCCTTATGATTTTTTTACGTCAGGAAAACACCGCTCTCTAGTGGTGTGCTTGGAGTGGTTCTCAGTACGACGTGGTGGTCGATGGACAATCACCAAGCTCAGCAGGACAACGAGGCTGCTGATCCTAGGACGAGGCCCTTGCTGCGACCACAACAAATGCATTTGGGGCAACTTGTTGCTGATGGCGGTTTAGGTCCTCCTGGTGCAGCCGAGCATCGTCATCGCGGGAACATCCCGTGGCTCACTATCCTTGGATGTTTATTCCTCACATTCAACTCTGGAATGGCCATCTACCGGTCCCAAGGTGAACGTTGGGCCGTTGCGTTCGTCGTCTTCTCCTACCTGGACTTGCTCCTACTCTTCTTCAGTCTCAGATGGTACGAGAGCGCCGAGCCCGGTTCGCTAACAAGGGACCGTCTCAAAGTAGTTATTTGGGTGCTCACGACAGCGCTTACCCTACTATTTACGACTAAGGTTGCAGCCGTCATGCCCACCGTAGTGGTCGTGGTAGTTTGGTTCATGGCCTTCTCCGCTATTGGAGGAGGCTTCTATGCATTCTTCTGTTATAGTGAAAAAGAGTGATATACTTCCCTAAAACACATGTATTTTATTTCATGTTCATGGGTCACTTGTGGTCGTCCAATATATATAACTCCCATCGTCCAACATATATAACTCGTGTTCCTTGTCTCCTCGCTCAAATATAAGAGCAAATATGTACCAATGCAAAAGATTATTATAGTTGTGTGTATCCTTGTGTTCCTTCAAACTCAGTCTTAATTCTAGGATTTCAATCTTAATGCTTGAATCAACTGAGGACGTGAGTTCCCTTGTTCTTATTGGACGACTAGCCTAAAACACTGTTCCGACTGAAAAACACTGTTCCGACTGATTTGTTGTGAGAGAAAAAACAAGCTGAAAAAGATGGATTATAAGAGAAGCGAACATGGCCGATGGACAAGTGCTCGTTCCGGCTGATTTGTCGTGTATGTAACTTGAACTCACATGACACGTGCTCGTACCAGTTAAAACAAGTTGCGTCTAGCGATGAGTGATACGAAGTCCGATTCTGTGTATTGGGTTGTATGTGATTGGACTCATGATTGGTGCGCATGAGTTAGAACAACTCACATCTATCGATGATATAGAGTCCGATTCTAATATAAATTGAGTTCCATTGCAGCACACAGACAAGTTTACTACTTTAGATAAAAATCTCTCTCTTGCGTGCTCTTGCTTATGTACATCCTTTGTTCTAAAAATAATGCAATTTTCGTTTTCTTTAGTCAAACAATTTTAAGTTTGATCAAATCTAAACGAAAACATACTAATATCTATGATTATTCAAAATTAATTTTAAATTAATTATAGAATATATTGTCATAGTAAACATATTTAAAGATAAAAATGTTGATATGATTTTCTATGAACTTGTTCAAACTTTTAAAAAAAAAACTTACTCTAAGCCTAGAAATGTTCTTTTTAGGAAATAGGCCGACCATCTCAGTTAAACTATTAACATTTTTCGTGTGAGTGCGCTTCCTAAGATTCAAACTCGTGTCTTTCTCTACCAATACACTATACACTTATTTGTAACTATGAGTAAGATGTTATCCTTTTATATAAACCTTTTAGAATCTTGTTTTAAATATTTTTGGCCCCTAAATGATATCAAATTGAAAAAAAATCAACTAGAATTTGTTATAGGTTTGTCTCCATCCAAGATATTTAAAGATCAAAATTTTAAATCTCAAAATCTGGTAATTTAAAATGGATATTTGGTACTCTAAACTATTTTAAACAGAAAACAACTTGCTAGCTACAAAGCTGTAGATCACTTCGAACACAACAACTTTAGTATACACCATGTCAACATTTAAAGTCATTTGAAAATTTTAAATTTAGAACATAAGAAATTAAAACAAACATTTGAGTTACTTTAGATAAAAAAAAACTTGTCGTATTTATAGGTCGCACTGAGACTACAATTTTGGATCAGACCATGTCAACATGCAAGGTACTTTGAAAATTCTAAATTTTAAATTTTATAAATCTAAAAGCTTGAAATGAAACTTTGGGACACTAAACAGTTTAAAATAAAAACCATCTGTTAACCACAGAGTTGTAGTCGTGTTGATATCTAGAATTTAGGTATAAAGGTTATCTTCGTCCAACTTCATATAAAAATACAATTTTTTAAAGTCAACTATTTCTAGAGGTGAGCCCTTAACTAAGCCGCCTCAATTAATTGATTTCTAGATACGGCATCTGAAAATATATATTATTGTAGGATCTACAGGAAGATAAAGAAGGCCTAGAGGGGGGTGAATAGGCCTATAAAAATTCAACTCAAAACTCTGTTAGAACAGAGGACGGCACTGCCGCTCTACGAAAAATAATCTAACACGGTTGAGATTTAACATATATGAACCTGAACCCACTAGTTGCTTAATCCTGCAATATAAAGCCAAGATCCAGTTCGAAGACTGGACACCACAGAAACTTTACACAACAATGAATCGAGCAACTAAACCCTAGCAATAGCTAGCAATAAGGTAAACAACGAGTATAGTAAAGATGAAGCACGCAAGACACAAGATTTATTCGGTGGTTCAGCTCACCACTAAGGTTTGCCTAAGTCCACGTTGTTGAGGAAGCCACAAAAGGCTTGAGCTTGCCACCAAGGCTTGCCTTACCCTCGTTCTCAAATCAAGAAAGTGAACTCTTGAAGTGAGGGGTGATTTCTTAGCTTTTGAATGAGGTTACAAACCTCTCAAGGGTGCCACACAAGTTGGCAAGTACAAGGGCGACGCCTAGCCGGCTAGGAGCAAGCTCCAAGAGTAACAAACCCTAGAACCGTCGGCCAAACGTGAATCAAATGCTCTTAGACTTTGAGAATCAGTGGATCTTCTCTTCAATCGAGTTTTGCTGCCTTTTCTCTCAAGTTTTGATGGTTGGAATCAAGGATTAGCTTGAGGGATGGAGGAGCAACAATGGAGGAGAGAGATGAGCTTTGGTTCTATCTATTTTCGAGCAGAATGACTCAGTGAAGAAGATAACCGTTGTGGCTGGGCTTGAAGGGTATAAATACCCCCTGAGCCCAACGATCAGTTAAGGGCGGCACTGCCGCCCTAGCCAAAACAGGTAATATGATATGAGATTTGGCTGGCTGTTTTGACTAGGTGGGAGGATGTAGATCTATGAATTTGAGCATCTGGTTCAACAGTTGACTAACTGTCCTAAAATCCCTCTTAATAGTACGGCTTTCCCTAAACTCAATTTCAAAACATAAAAGAATTTAAATCTCCTTTAAGCTATGTCCAGCCACCTTTTATAATTAGGACACCTGCAACCTGTACATCATCCTCATTCTTCGATTTCCTACTTGTTATCTCGATAAATCTCATTAGTCCTCTAATTTGGTGGTCATCAATACCAAAACCCACAATAGGGCTTGATTGCACTTACAATCTCCCCTTTTTGGTAATTGATGACAACCCAATTAGAGCTTACACATGATATGAAATCTAAACTGAGATTTCCAAACCAAGCCCTATTGTAGGAGCCTCTCCCTAAATATGTGAATAGAGATTTGAATTCTCAATTTGGCATAAAAGGCCATGATTCACATTTTAGGTGTAATAGGAACCTCCCCCTACATCCATACCTGTTGTGGGGTGCTGAACAAAGTGTCACATGAATAAACTTGATGCATATGATAGGTATTTATCAGTTCAAACACACAAGATTCTGGCTGATACAGCAGAGGGCGCCACTGCCGGCCCCATAGGGCGGCACTACCGTCCTAGCTATATCAGTCAGGTAGCAATCAAATTTCTACAGCAGATCATATGAATATAAAACAATCTAAACTCAGAATATGACAAGCTGAAGTTGTAACCATGAATACATGTCCATATCCAAAGCAAATAAAGTCACAAAGTAGCATAATTTCATAAAATAGAGTTTTGAACGACTCTCAAACTCACAACCTAACAACTACTCTCATCGGATCTAAACATGAAGCGCAGCAGCAAGGCGTCGAAAATCCATTGACCCCTCTAATTTTCTCCCCATTTGGCATCAAATACCAAAAAGAGAAGAAAAAGAAGAGAATTCACTCGTCACTGTCAGAGTCGACGCGGGCACGTCCGGCAACGTGGGTGTGCGAAGTGAAGCATGTTGAACGTCGTGGAGGTGCTGCCCCAGCTGATGTAGAGGGCCCTGGCTGATCCGTCGAAGGACGCGGTCTCCTGGAATATGAGCGAAACAAAGCTGCCTGAACCTGTGGATCGGCCTCTGTAGGGTGAATATCTGCACCAAGTTCCTGCTGACTTGGGGGCTCCTCAAAGTGCTGCTCCTGGTGGTACCCATAGTACTGACTAAATGGCTCATATGAGTGTCCATGCTGCTGATCATATGGCTGTCCATCATGGTGCTCATGTGGCTGATCCTGCTCCTCATCAGAAGAAGAAAGGCGAGGCAAGTTAGGAAACTAAGGTGGTGGCTGCACTGGTGGAAGTGGTGGCAGCCCTGCCATCTCCCTAGCATGCCTCACTACTTCCCTATTCTCCATTCTATCCTCATAAGCAGTCTATGAAGCATATGCACAATGAGTAAAGATAGCCTTCATCCATGCACTCATCTTTCCCCACTTTGATTTCTTCTTTTGTTCCCTAGCCCTGAATGGCTCAGGAATATCTCTGTGTTCAGCTCCAGAAGAGTGAAAGCCTGCTGCCCCACTATCTCCAAGTCCTCCAGAACCAGTATGCTGAGTAGCTGATCCAAGTCCCCCTAAGCCACTATAGGTCTTTTTGATCTTGTAAACAGTATGCTCACAATCCTTAGGGAACCACATACCAGTCACTCTCTCAATCATAACATGAGGTAAGGAGCATAAGGCAAAGATCTCCTCCCATCATCCATGGCATATGCTAGCTCAACACAAATGAATCTTGGAACATTAAACTTTTCACTGCTGAGAAACCTAGAGAACACATTAGTGATATAGCCATTCAAATATGTTGCATTGTCTTTAGGGTTGAGAGTGATCCTAAAAAGATTGTTCATGATGTAATAGAAACTCTTGAGCTTTATCCTTGACCAATCAGGAACTGCAAGATTTTGATCCTCCCACATGAAGCTTACTTCCATTGGCTCAAGACGGCGTTCATTATGTATTCTCTCATATCCCCTGTGGATATGTCCAAAACCAAGAATACGACAGAAGGTGACAAAATCAATGTGATAGTGTCTCCTATTAGTCATCCAATGAAGCTCATCCACTTCCCTGTTCCAAAGTAACTAGCATGGAACTAGGCAAGAATCTCCCTGTTCCAATCATACCTGAAACTCATGATGTCTGTCTTCTCAAAACGGTCACATGTCTTGATTGTTGTAGCAAATTGATGATCATCCCTGCTCTCCAAGTCACCAAAGTCAATGTACTACATCTTGCTAATCTTGCCCTTTGACTTAGACAGAATGGCTGTAGCATAAAAATCAGATTGGAAAGCATTCCAAAATCTATAATCAATGCCATTAGATCTGTTAGAGAAGTAGGGATCAATCTCTCTGGCTTC